CACCCTTCTATTTTTCATTATAAAAATATTTGTGATTATGGATCTTAATAATCCTAATTACGGAGGTGGTTCCTCTCAAAATAATCCAAATAACCAATCTTCCAATTCTCCAAATTTCCAAAGTAATTTTCATTTTTGATCCAAATAACCCTACTAATACAAATGCTCAAACAATGTTATTTTATAACATTCCTAACCAACCAATGCATCCAAACCAACAATTTCTACAACAATTTCCAAATCAATTTCCAAACCAAAATTACACACAACAATTCTCAAACCAATTTTCAAACCAAAATTTGCAACAAATTCCCCAAAATTATCCATCTGGTTTTATGTTCCCGATGTCACAACATTATGGCGTGAACCAAATAATTCAAAAGATTCCAACAACTCCTGAGGGAGAAAGAAGCAGTAACTTAACCCCACCCGATGATCCAAGGGTTCCACAACAAGGTAATGATGATGTTGACGGTGTAGGTGATGATGATGTTATTGAAGCTCCCCACGGGAGCAACACTGTTGTCAGGGCAGAAAAATGGGGTGCAAAAGAAGATGATGCGCTCGTTTCGGCTTGGGTAGAATGTTCAGTTGAAGATCCAGAGACGGCAACAGATCAAAGTTTGGCCGTAATGTGGAGGAACATACAATCCCTTTATGATCAAGCCAGAGAAGAAAAATCCATCCACCATGCGCCCTAGAACTTAAGATCTATGAAAAGTCGATGGGCAAGAATAAATAAAGATGTGAGTACATGGGTTGGTTGCTATAGTGAAGCAAAAAAAAAGGTATATGAGTGGTACCAACACTCATGATAAAATGACCGAAGCTCATGAAATATATAGAGGGACGTGTAATGGTTCACGCTTTGGTTTAATTGGTTGTTGGGAGATGTTGAGAGAGTTAGACAAATAGAAGCCAATAGACCTGGATTTACCTTCTAGTGATGGTGGCAATTCGAAAAGATCAGAACCAGATACTCCAACTGATGAAGGTCCAAAAACTCATACTCGTCGCCGTCGTTCTGACGGGGTGAAAGCATCAATAAGAAAAGGTAAATCTATTGTCAATTCTGGAATTCAAATAGGGGGTGGTTCTGAAATTAAAAATTTAGAGTCGTTTACCGAAGCCCTATTAGAGATGAATGTGATGAAAGGTCAACACAAAGATGTTGATGAAAGGAGAATTGATGTAGCAGAACGTATGCTAGAGTATCAAAAGGAGCGAGATGCCATCAAAGCTCGGAAGAAACAAGAAGAAAAAAGGTTCAAGCTATTTAGTGTCCTTCTTGCAAAACCAATTCTATCTGAAGAAGAAAAGGAAATATATCTAAAATTAATCAAGAATTTGCACATCTTCTAGGCTAGTTTAAATATCAATTAAGGTAGTCAAACTACATGTGTATTATTCTAATTTTAATTGATGTAATGTTACTTATGTTGTTTTAACAATTTCTACTACAAGAAACAGGCTGTATAGGGACTGAATTTCCACTACGAAATATGCGTAATTTAAATGCTCTTTGTTTATTACCCAATAAATTATTTCTTGTAAATAATAATAATATAAAATTAGCTCCATAATGAGAAATGTTGTAAAATATGACCGACATGCAATGCTACATTGAAATGTCACATGTTGACAGAAAATCTGTAAGCAATATCAGAGAGTCTCATCTTTTACTGTTATGTGTACCCATACATTGAATTGTCATACAAAAGAAATCTACAAACCTTATCAGAAATGTAATCTTTTTGAGTTGTTTATCCATTCAATGAATTACCAATGTAAAAATCTGTAAACCTTATCGAAAATCATATCTCTTATACTTGTGTGCCCATATATCATAATAATTACTAGTTATTTGTTTTGAATAATTTTAGAAGTTATAAATAAGGGGGCTACACTTCATATTTCAATACATAAATATAAGTATTATTTCTACATAAAAAAAAACCTCTCTCTTCCTCTCTACCAAATGATATTACAAAATGAACTCTGATTCAAATTCTTCTAGTTCATCTAGTTCAGGGTTATTTGATTACATGGTGAACGACTATGTAGAGTGGCATGAATCAATTACCCAAAGGCGAAAAGAAGATGAATTGATCGAGGAAGCGATCAATATAGTTGTTGTTCCCTTTGTAACATCACCTTACCAGGTCCCCTTCACTCTTGAACCTACGTACCAAAGGTGGTATGTACCAAGAGATCGAGAATATGCTGATATTCAGTTATATAACGATTACTTTAGTCCCCAACCATTGTACCCTGATAATATGTTTCGTCGACGGTTTCGCATGCGTAAGAATGTGTTCACACACATTGTTAATAAACTAAGCGAAAGTGATGTTTACTTTCAACAAAGGCCGGATGCCACCGGAAGACTAGGTGCATCCCCCCTCCAAAAATGCACTGCAGCAATTCGAATTTTAGCATACGGTACATCTGCCGGTGCAGTTGACGAGTATCTTAAAATTGCGTCAAGTACTGCAAGAGAAGGTCTTGCTCACTTTGTTGAAGGGGTCGTAGCTCAATTTGGACCAGAGTACTTGAGGAGAGCGAGTACTATGGATACTGAACGACTCCTCCGTGAAAGTTATGTTCGTGGATTTCCTGGTATGATGGGCAGCATTGATTGCATGCATTGGGAGTGGAAAAATTGTCCGCGTGCATGGAAAGGAATGTATCAAGGTAGAAGTAAAACAACAACGGTGATCTTGGAGGTTGTTGCTTCGCAAGACTTGTGGATATGGCATGCTTTTTTTGGCACCCCAGGTTCTTGTAATGATATAAATGTCCTCCAACGGTCGTCGGTGTTCTCTGATATATGTGAGGGAAAAGCTCTAGAGGTTACCTTCAATGTCAACGGAAATACATACAATATGGGTTATTATCTTACAAACGGTATCTATCCGAAATGGGCAACATTTATCCCAGCAATCAAACATCCACAAACTGGTAAGCACAAATTATTTACCAAGAAGAAAGAGAGTTATCGAAAGGACGTTGAACGTGCCTTTGGAGTGTTACAAACTCGATTTGCAATAATACGTCAACCAAGTCTAGCATGGTCGACCGAAATTTTATGGAAAATCGTAATGGCTTGTATTATCATGCACAATATGATTGTTGAAGATGAGCGAGATGGATATTTGCATTATGATGCAACTGAATTTATCAATGATCAACCGCAAAATTTAGCTGGATCACCAACTGGTAACAACAACCAACCATTTACCGTGAGAAGTGGACGATTGGATAGGCTCAATCTAAATAGTTATATGGAAAATAGAAATAATGTTCGTGATAGGGAGACCCATATTGCACTAAAAAATGACTTGGTTGAGCATATATGGGGACGTTTCGGCAACGAATGAAGAGATGACCAAAGTCGTTGTTAATGAACATTGTATTTTAATTTTTAATAGATGTCTTTGCTATATAAGCTATGTTATTTAAATATTGTATTATTTTTGTACTTTTCATTTCAAAAATTAGAAAAAAATTGGAACAACTTACATACATAAGTGATTATTAATATTGTTCTATTTAAAATGCTCTAATTAAAAAGAAAGAAAATTAACAATGTTTAACTTTTTTTAATTAATTATGTAAGTTCAAAAATTACAAATAAATAATAGAGAGTAATACATGTTTTAAAAAATAATAAATAAAACAAGAGTGAGAAAGAATAAATGATGGGGTAGTATAAAAAAATTAGGAGAGAGAATGGTGAGTAACCTCACCATTGTAGATAAATAAATAAGGTGACTTATACTAGTAGTTTAAGATAGTGGAAAGTGAGGTGGAAGATGATTTGGAAAAGAGATAAATAAATAAGGTGATTTGCATAGGTGTGAGTAACCTCACCAATGCTCATGCTTTGAGACTCAAAGTTGAATATCAAAATTAGAAACTTTCTTCTTGAGTATCTAAGTTTAGATATCAACTTATTAGTATTCTTTACAAAAAATACTCTCTCTCGCCTATAAAAATTTCAATGACTCAACATTGGAGATGACCTTATATAATACCTAGTATATCATTAGATTAGTCACAATGCCTATTATTATAATTTATTTATTTTTTTACAATTTTTGCTAATAGATAATTAAATATATTAATGGTCAAAGTTACGTCTTGACAAATGTGTCGGTCAAACTGATACATTTTTTTTTAAAAAATAAGGAGCGGGTAAAGGATTTAATCATGCTACCCTAGTAACTTGCAATAAATAAATAAACCACAGTTGATTAGATGCTAATCTTTCGTATAAATTACTCTTCAAGATTTTAATCAACTAAACTCGTAAATCATCCTCACAAGTATGGGTAACATATTTATGAACCCTTTTTTTGTGTTCCTTGTTGGGGACCGGTTAATAGTCGAATTTGTTCTAGGTGTGCTCTAGCAACTTGTATTTGGGCTAGTAATGGTTTGTCGTCAACTGGATACATGTACAATTACCTTAGATTAGCTGCCCTTGGGGGTTATGTCTGAGGATAACTGTTCCAATGCTACAGTCAGTCCTGGTAGGATAATGATAAGTACGTAATTTGAGTGTTTAGGTTAAGAATATTAGACCTTAGAAGTAAGATATGTTAGGGTATTTATAGAAATCCCTTAGCAGGTGCCATGTGTTGGTCCACGTGGGTGTTTTGTTAAGTAGTCGGTGAGTGTCCACGTGGTTGAAAGCAGGTCTCCACATGGATGACTATAAATGCTGGTATGGGTAATAGGCCGGTATTGAACATGATCTAATTGCAAAGAAGTGACCACAATTACCTAATTTATATAAGTGTCGGTATCATCTTATACAGAGTCTAGTGTTTCAGTATAAATACGACAATTGGACATTGGGTTCGTGTGTTTTGTGCATTATCATATGTTTATCAAATCAAAAGTACAAAAAGAACAATAACTTTACATGGACTATTACAACCCATTTGTCAGTACTCCCTATTTAATTAAGTTGACAATCTTCTTAGAAAGAAAGAATTGAAAATAGCAGTTAAAAAAAAATAAGTTGACGAACTAATTAAGAAACTACTCCAATCAAGTGGGATATTTAATACTATTACAGGAAGTCAGAAGAACATTAATTGTATGCGTAGCACATCAGAGGATTTTCCCCATTGGATAGCACGCTCTGATTGAATTTCAATCTAAGAGCTTCCAAAATTTCAAATATATTTCATCAAAGAATAACAATATATAAACCATGAGAAATTTCTCAATCTTCAAAACAACTGCAAAGCTTTTCAATGGCTACCCAACTTATTCTAGTCTCTTACTTCTCTTTACTGTCAGGTATAATTTGTTCATCCCTTCAATTTTTGTGCCATTCATCTTGTTGCTTTATTTTTAATGTTGGGTTCTTGTGAAATTTAGTCATTTTGTTGAATTTTGTGGAGATTTTGATGATAATGTTGTTTAGTACAAGAATGTGGATTATGGGTTTTATTGGATTTTCTAAAGTGAATTTCTATAAACTAGATTACGGTGCTTTTACCTTTTTATTTTTATTTTTATTTATTTATTTTTATTTTTTTGTGGAAAGGATTATAGGTTGACTTTTGTTGGGATGAATTCTGGAATGTGATATGTTGATTGAAACCGATATGATGCAACTTAACTCACCTTTTTTATTAAGAAATTTCTATCAATTAGTGAATTATGTTGGCTGTTTTAAAATTTATACAGGAGTTTTTATGATTATGTATAATTGTACTGGGATTTTAATTTTAATTTTTTTTACTTTTTGATTTACTTGTTTTTAATATAATTTTTAAGTTCTGAAAACTGTCATAAAAAAACTATCTTGATCTTGTTACCAAATGATCTTATTGTTTACAATAAAATAAATGGACAAATGGTACTAAACAACTCTTTAACTTCTACCCACAGTTGTCTACCTAGCTATTTGGACTCACATTGATGTAAGTCTAAGTTTCATGGTTGATAATAATTCAAATACATGGGATGCATAATACAGTATTGAAATGAAATAGGATGGTTGCGAATCAACAAAAATGGCAGACAATGTTTTCGAAATGGGGGAAGTAATTCTTAGTTTTTAGATTGAAATAGGACATTGAGAATCACCATAGCTTACCCCCAACAATACAGCTTCGAATGAGCTGCTGGTGTTGATTTTGTGTCCATACTGTCCTAGTGTCCATGTTTGAGAGTCGAGTAACCGATATGGCTATTTGAAGTTAAATGGGAGTTTGACGGTTGATTGTATATATTTCTATAAGCTCAAAGTTCACTATTCTCTTATGTGGTTGAGGTCTAAGAACTAGATTTACCGTGTGCTTGAATAATGATGTGGATATGTGGAGGAATTCTAATATCCGTGTGCTAAGCTGGTAACACACCATATAGTATTGAAGATAACAATTGTATGTGCAAAGCAGAGTATATGAATGTGCTCCTATGTCCCAACTCAATCATTCTTGTAATATGGAAACATGAGTGCTTATATGATAATACATGATTGGTTTGGGGCACCATAAAATAAATGTAGTGTAAACTCTATGATATGTGTGAGTATTTGGTTTATAAGGTAGCACATTTCATTTCCAATTTGATCAAGGGTCCATTCAAAACAAGCCTTTGTCATCGTAGAGGTTAGACTTACATTTTTATGCTATAAAGTGACTAGTGAATGTACCGGAACATTGATCTCACTTTCATTTTCATTTAAGGCTTGCTGGCTCAGTCACTATGCATCAAAGTTCATGAGTCCATTGTAGTTAAGCTTTACCTAATATAACAACTTCTTTTTCATCTTAGTTATTTATTACGGAGTACCTCCGTTTCTGAAAGTTCTCAACACTTTTACTTTATTCTATTTTTGACAAACCCTTTTTACTACATTACCCCTCTTACCTCAATATATTTTCACCTTTCTACCCGCTCTATTTTGCTTTATCGACCTTTTTCTTACGTTCACCTACTTTTATTTGAGTTAGTTCTGCAGTTGACAACCCATTTCAGTTCATACTTATGCTGAATTTTCAACATCGCATATGTAATTATATATTGTTTATACTCCGTACATATGCTTTGATCTTTCAATTCATTTAAAACAGCAAAGAACGAACAGACAGTAAAAATTTGAGGCCAAGGCAGATAGCAGTAAAAGAGACAAAGAGCAGTATGACTGGACTAATACGTAGTATATGCAATGGCATCTTGATTTCTGAGGGATCAGATAAGTTGGAGCCAGAGTGAGAGTTGTACGTAGATAGGACCATTAATTATTACATGCTCAAATATGGACCGTGCCGTGGGATTGGAGATTGAGACTTATCACCAACTACACTCCCAAGTTGCAAGCCCATACTAGCTATATTTTGTATGATTAATAATGGCCTTAACCAATAACCCTGCCTGCATACTGATACACACCTTAGTTTCATATCACTACTTCTGAGTGCAGATTGCTGAGTTACTACAACGTTTTTACCAAATTTATTTTGATCAGATGGCAAAAAACACTTTTCTAGAGATATCTTCCACTTACACAATGTTTTTTTCTTAACCAATGTTTTTTGTACACCACCCACCCTCTGACCTTAACCAAATTAATTTCGTACACCACCCACCCTCTCACCTTAACCATTTTTTTTCTTACACCACCTACTCACTCACCATTTTTTTTTTTATAAATTTTGTGCAAATAGTAATTGTTAAGATCAAATGGAAACAAAGGTAGTATATTCTATTAAGGTTATTTTTTGAAGGAGACTTCTCAGGCTCAAACCTAGGGCATCTTGGTTCAAGTATGTTACCTTCACATAGTAGAGGTTGCTGAATCATAAGTATTACAAAGTCTTATATACGTACTGAAATCCCTTGGGTTTTACAAATTTTTCTAGAACTTGATTTAGTTTTTATATGAGCTCATTATAATCTGACATAAAACCTTTAACGCATTATCTGGGTTGATATAGTCCGTTCTTGAACATTTACGTCAATGCTTAGCTTACTAGCCTTCTTTCATTGGTTCAAAGCATCAATCTGAATGACTATGTCATTGCACACAAATTCTTGCAGCTTAATTTGCTTGTAGTAGGCAAAATGGAAAAAGCTATTGAGATGCAGCTTGAGTAGCACTTAATTAGTAAGTGAAATAATAGCATTTGTCATAGGCCAATTGTGTGATGGAATTAAGAACTGGAGATGGGTTTGTTACCACCTGGAGCTCAGAATTTGAGACAGTATTGGTAAATGGATAGAGATTGCACAATAATGACTGATAGAGAGAAAGTAGAATACAGGAGAATCCAAAAGTAATTTAGTGAAGAACAATTTGTAGGGAGTCAGGACATATGAAGCGGATAGTTTCAAGGAAATTATATAGCACAATTCTGTAGTTAGCTGTAAATGTGTAACAGACTAGAAATTAGGCAGAAAACTAAAAGAAGATGGACATCTGAATTAGAAGCTGAAAATTACAGAAAACAAAAGATAATAATTGTTTTCAAGAGTCTGTTCTCTTCCAAAGTGCACTGTTAAACTAAAGGATATATTCATAATGATATTTATCATGGCTTTCTCTCATTAATCTCCTCTTTATATTGAATTTCTCGAACTGACTTCCTTCTCTTCATGCTAATTCTAAGCACTAATTATGCATTTCCTACACAGCCCCTTCCCTCTAGTCCAGTCTATTACAAAATTCTGAGAAACTGCATAAATTCAAATACTGTCACTGACTTGTGTGATATCTACTGATCATTACCTTGAAATTACATTTTTTTTCTTTTATTTTAGGGACTTTATGATCCATTATTAAATACCCTTGGAATAAACACTTTTTTAGTATAATAGAAGGCTAGTGAAAAGGTTTTGCTATATTTATATGCATATTACAAATGATTCTGCATTGTGATTAGCATGTTCTGCTGACTAAACACATGTTCATTCCCAAGAAATTGATAAAAAAAATTAAATTGGTCCTAAGAAGATAATTTCTACCCATCATGGTTGGACCTTCAAACACCTAGAAAACAAGATCACATCTACCTGTTAAGAATTTAAGTAAACAATTTGGTACATGTCTGTCTAACATCTAAATGTGTTCCTATCATTTCTCTTTCTTTGCCACTGTTTATAACGTGCCCTTTTGCTCTCCCTAAAGATTCTCACTTTCTAGTTAAGAATCAATCTCATGACTAGGATCTTTAGAATAAGTTGGAATATACAATTTCTTCAACTTTGCTGCTAACTTTATCAAGTCAGTTACTTGCTCTGCTCTGCAGCAGAAGTGCAGGACCAGAGTTACATAATATGCAAGTATTAGATTCAGTACGATATGTAGATTGCTACTTACGTTGTTATATTGGGACAAAATTAACACCTTTTTTTTTTTTTTTTTTTTTTTTTTTTTTTTTTTGTGTTATAATTCGCCTTTGTCCCTTCACGGGACATGGGGGAATTAGAATATTAGGTGATACTGTGCTGGACTGATCTGTTGATATGTGTAGAAACAATTTTGCCTTATAATCTATTTCTGTGCTTTGCTTATTTCAGTACAGGAGGTATGGTGGCATACTCGGAATATAAGACAGGAAATAGTCCACTAAGTATTGAAAATAAGCATATGGATCCTAAGAAGAAGAAAATGGTGGTGCTTGGGACAGGCTGGGCTGGTATTAGTTTTGTGAAGGATCTGGATCCTTCAACCTATGATGTCAAAGTTGTTTCACCGCGAAACTATTTTGCATTTACCCCATTGCTTCCAAGTGTCACATGTGGAACAGTTGAAGCAAGGAGCATTGTAGAGCCCATCAGAAGCATTGTTAAGAAGGTGAGTCTAAAGTGTATGTCTTAAATTACTTTTCCGTTTGAGATGATTGCTATTTCTATTTAATTTGAATTTTGCTTAGAAACCATAGAAAAAAAAATTGTGGATGCTATCGCGATAATGGTTGCATTGTCTTAGAAACGACTTGCTATGGAGGAAATGAACGAAACGCGGTTAACACGGTGTGCGTTTTCCCAAAAAATCACATTAATGGGCTTAACCCTTGCATACACCTTTTAAGTTTAACATTCTTTTAACATAGTGTAACCTAATCAATCATACTATGGCCGGGGGGGGGGGGTAGGGTAACATATTGGTGAACAAGAAATTACTTTAATTTCCATGTTCTATAAATCGCATAACTAATTTGTTAGTATTAATTTGTTCAGTTTAACTTAATAGAACAGATGTAATAGGTTAAAAAAATGCTCTAACACAGTGGATCACCATCACATAGCCATACAATGTGTGAAAAAGGCATGATTTTTATCATGTCTTTATATGTTGGGTTTCGCAGGTAAATCCAAAATCCATTACATAAGGAAACGTCCGAATTTTAATTCCATGGGATAACCTCATTTCATGCAAATAATCTAAGCTTTGTGATCTTTCAGTAGCTGTTTCTGATATTCATTCTCTGGACATTGAAAATGTCATCAATAAGAACAAGCAAGATTATAATGCTAATTATGAATAGATATATGGTCGCAACTCACAATTAACTAATGAAGGTAGAGATTAAGTTTAGAACTATTGGGATGAAAAGGTTTTTCTTCTTGAGGATGGAATTAAGAGGGGACAAATTGCTTCATATGTCTTTTTCCTTAGTAAGAGTTGATAAGATCGATGGAGATCCAGCTCCAGCTTTCCATGCCGTACTTTTTTGTTTGGGCATTGGAGACACATAGGCAAATGAAGTTGACATAAAACTCAATGAAAAATTGGGTAAGAAGTTCAAAATATGAAAACAAAAAATGGTCTGTGCACATTTATTGTAGCAAGATAACTGGAATACACTGTTGGAAAATTTAAAGTTGTACACTGGTGGCTATGGCTTGAAAATTGGTCTAGCAGGGCTTCTTTACTTCTTTAGAATCTAATTTTCAGTCTTCTGGTTTGAGTGTAAACGGATATTATACCATATAATCTTGTACTTAAGGCCATTTCTCTTATCACCCCAACATATTGACCCCTCCTCTAGTAACCTAATACTCGAGGAGAATACTTATCAACTAGAGCTTTCTTTTTGCAGGTTATCCGTTACTATGTAGAGATTCTATGTGTCAACACTATGTATCCCAGTTATTCTACTGTCATTTCTCTCTGAAAAGTTGATATTTATATTTTGTCAGAAACGAACTCTGAAGATTGGATTTAAAACATAACATGTTGCCTTTTCCCATCCTTGATAATGGAAATTCTATATGTTAACGTCATAATTTTGGGTTTTGAAATTTATGGTGCCTCTGGTTGGGATTTGTACAAACATTGTAAATGATCTAACATTTAGCATTGGCCTTGAAAGTAAAGATACCCCTCTTATTGGACTACGTTATTATCCACGTGATAGTTTTGTGCCTTTTGGCTGGTGGTGTTTTTTGGCCTATTTAGGTGCTGCAATTATCACCAGCTTAATATTGTGAAATAGCTTGTTGAACCTTTGATTTGGTAGAAGTACAACCTATTCGTGAAGTAGTTGGTTAATTAACTTGAAATTAGATTCATCATATCTAGGGGCGGTTTCAGGATTGTAGGATTATAATACTGATGTGCACAATATAGCAAGATTAAGCATAGTTCATAAGATATTACATTTTCTGATTGACAGTCATAAATTTTCAAATCACATCATTTGACATATAGTATATTTTTGAGATGGGTAAATGTGAATAATGAAGTTGGCATAGTGCAGAAAATGTGAATTTGGCTGTCTAACTGTCTTTTGACACACCAAACCAATTGCTAGATTCACCCCCTGACAATCTTTGTATTTGAGCAACCAGAATGTTTAGAAATTTAGCTTATAAGATGGATGAATAATCTACATATTTTGGGCAGATTTGGGGGTTGAAATGAATCTACCACTTTGCACAATTACTTGGATGGGAGTGAAGTGTGGAGCTTTATAACTAAGTTGAAAATCATGCATTAATGTTGTTCTTTGTGTACATCAGAATAACATTCTTTAGGATCATGGATCCTAGTTATTTCTTTATCTTTTTATAGTTGTACTTAACGATATATTGAATTCATATATTCACATTGTCACAGAGAATTGGAGAAATAAAATTTTGTGAGGCAGAATGCACTAAAATTGATGCAGCAAACAAGAAAATTCATTGCAGATCTACTTTTGAGAATAGCCCTGTTCCAAGTCGAGATTTCTCTTTGGAATATGACTACTTGGTTATAGCAGTTGGAGCACAAGTGAACACTTTCAACACTCCTGGTGTCATGGAACATTGCCACTTTCTGAAGGTAAAGTCATTTACTATCCTTGTTTTAATATGAGTAACTGAACGTGTAAATTTATTAATGAGATTGAGAAAGTAAAATTTTAAGGATCGAAGTTCATTTTTTAAGCATCATTTCAATTATAACATTATAGTTTTAAAGATCCACCAAGTCTCTATTTCTATAATTCCTTATGTAGGGGTAAAAAACCAACTATGATAACTATAATGATTCTCTTTGATTAAATTTGGAATATATGCAACTAAAAAGAAAAGTATTAAACATTAAATTACCAAATTAGCTATGTTTTACATAATTGTTATATGAAGCATAGCCAGTTAAAGTTTTCCGACCCTTCTACCTCAAATTATCTATATCATATTTGTGTTAGCCTCACAATATTTTAATACATTATTACATAGAATGCCTTTTACACAACTTCAAACTCAAGGGCTCTTCTTGTTTGCAACTTTTCAGCATCATCAAATTTATATGTAACTATGTCCAAAGTAAATTTTTAGGTTTTGTGAGGGACTTTTGACTTGTTACTACATATCAACAAGGAAAACTATGTTGATGAAATATTCCCATGTGAATACTAAATATGTTTAAAGTTAACCTTTTATGTTGTTTGAGAGAGGGAAAGAGTTAGCCACTCTATAAACTTTCTGTCAAAAAAATAAGATCCAATTTATTTTATTATATTTCGAGTTATATAATATGAATATTTTATTATATTCCTAGATATTTATTACCTTTTTTTAGCCTAAACATCACCAGGAGAATTAGAAAACACTCTAATACTTAAAAATCAATTTTTGATCATATTTTTATCTTGAAATTTGTTAATATTTTCTTGTTATGTTTGAGATCTTCTCTTAAGAGTGATTTTTATTGTAAACATTTCAATTGGGGTGTGGTTCAAATCTAATGTGGAAGTTTTATAATACGATTTCATGAAATATGATTAAGATAATATTTCAAGTTAAGTTTTATAATATAGCTTCATGAACTACTATAAAGAGAATAATTGGAAATGTCCTAGGTCAAGACCGTCAAGTATTAGAAGATATAACTCATATTTCTCATAGTATTCCTTTTCTTATTAGGAAGATTGTACTTTAATGTCGAGTTTAAACATGGATTAAGTTTTGTTGACACTTGTATGTTGAAATCTTCTTGCACTAAAGATTTAGTTGGGTAATTGTAGTATTGTGTGATCATAGCATACCTTTAAAGTTAAAAAGTTATATGAAATGACTATAACCAACACTATTATATAGAGTAGATGTTAGAATGTTGGGCCATTAAATAAGTTCATATGTAGTATTAGAAAGATGGGTGTAGCATAGATGCTTATGTAGAGATGAATATGTGGGAAAACATTAAGGGACATAATTGATAATTTAGATATTTAAGATGGAAATGTAGTTATTAAGGATAAGATAAGGGAGAACTAATTATATTGGTGTGAGCTTGTAAGCGATGACCACAAGGTTTTATTGACAAGGAAAGTGGGTAGTTAGGATCTTGTGGATGTCAGAGAAGACGAGAGAGGACAAAGAAAATTTATATGGTTAAAGTTAAAAATAATTTGAAGGAATTGAATTTAGAAGTGTGTATGATACTGATTGAAGGGAATGGAAGGAGAAGACCTTTGTTGACAACCACCGAAAAAATGTCTTGGTTCATAAAATTGAGTTTAAGGCTTGATTATTTTATTTTGTTGCGTTTACAAGATGAACATCATCTTGTTTCTTGCTTCCTACGTATTCTCTCGCTTCCTTCCACTTTCTCACTTTTCTTTGTTTAATTACTTTATCTCTTTACTTTTCTTGTTAAACTATTCACGGATGGTTCCTTGTGATAATTCATGTTAGCTGGCCCCAAATAATTTTGCAACTATGGCTTTGTTATTACGGTTTCAAGGTGGACACCATCTTCTACTTACTGATCAAGTACAGTTGTTACATTTGCAAGATGGACACCATCTTCTCCTTACTGATGAAGTGCAGAATCTAGTGTAAATCTGAATATCTTGTGTGCCACTTGGTTTAAGGACGTGCAGAGTGTATCTTATCATGCAGGAGGTTGAGGATGCTCAACGAATCCGCAAATCTGTGATAGATTGTTTTGAGCAAGCAGTCCTTCCAGACTTGAGTGAAGAAGAGAAGAGGAAGAATCTTCATTTTGTAATCGTTGGAGGCGGTCCTACAGGTGTTGAATTTGCTGCAGAACTGCACGATTACATCCATGAGGATTTAGTGAAACTGTATCCTGGAGTTCAAAAATTTGTAAAAATATCCGTAATTCAATCAGGCGATCATATCTTGAACACGTAAGTGCACCAGGAACTGTTTGATTTTTTATTCTATATCCCAACCTCTCTCTTCCCTCTTCATACAGCAGATGCTAGTTAACTTTAGCTTGTGTCTAATTGGAGACCTTCTTGTTTCAACCAGCATAATATGGACCGTAGAGCAGGTGTGCTAGTCTTCTGATAGTCAAGTATAAACATTTCCAATTCAAGCAACAAACTTAATATCTGTTACATTAGCATAACAGAAAATGACTATCTTCTGTTGATTTATGAGTTCTCTCTGCTTATATGTTGAAGCCGTGCCCCGTGCCAATTATATGCCACTTTAAGGTTAAAATCTGTTACTGTCATATTGCCTTTTTTTGCAGATTTGATGAAAGGATTAGTGCGTTTGCTGAGACAAAATTTTCTAGGGATGGGATTGAGGTTTTAACAGGGTGCAGGGTTGTCAGCGTTTCTTGTGACTCTATCACTATGAAAATCAAGGCGAGTGGAGAAGTATGTGCTTTACCGTATGGAATGGTCTTATGGTCTACTGGAGTTGGTACAAGACCAGTTGTGAAGGATTTCATGGAGCAAATTGGCCAGGTTTGTAACATGCTTATTTACCTGACAACTTTAGCTAACTAATGCTATTTATTTGTTTATTTTAGAGGCTGATTTACTCCTACAGATTGTATATCTATATATGAAAGGGGGAAATAATAGTAGTTTGCTCTGGCCTTATCTTAATACTGTGTATATACCTGATATATATCTCCATGCAGGGTCACAGGCGTGTTCTTGCAATTGATGAGTGGTTGCAAGTTAAGGGTTGTAAGGACGTATTTGCCATAGGCGACTGTGCTTCAGTTGATCAACGCAAAATCATTGTATGTGACACGCCCTGAATCTTTTGGATACCTAACAAATTTTTATGAGTAGCCTATATATGTGTGACCTGCTGAAATCATTCCTTGCTTCTATTATCTAAATTTCTTGTTTTATGGACTGGTAAGCTGACATTGCAGTATAGCACACAGTATAAACCCTGACTGGGAGTTACACACGTGTAGCAATTCAATAGCAAATAAGAAATTTTTCTCAATTAAATATAATGAGTAGACTGTTACATGTTCCTTATAAAGTTAAAGGAACTTTGTACTAGTCCCTATCTTTCGTTGATCCTCCCTACTCACTCCTGGTAGAAAGATCATAAGTTTTATTTGTGATTTTTTGGATGGTATAAGTACAATTAAATGAAGCCAACAGGTGTATATGTAAATTAAATCATTACTTTGATACTTTCACTGTTTGATCGATCAAAGTTATTTTTTCTCTTCATCAGTTGAATGAAATCGCAAGTAAATTGTTGAATTGGACTATAAAATCTCGTACTTCTCCTTTTCTGTAGTATCTTAATTATCAGGGACCACATTATCTTGTTTGGATAAAGGACGATGCTTCTGTGAAGATATATTAATCAAGGATTTACAAAGCTCAAATTTTGGCTGAAAAATCATCAAATAACTATTTGAGTTTGCCCACTAAGTTTGAAAATTATACAGATTTATGAATGCATGATTGCAAACATTATGCAATTTATCAAAGCAAGATACTTTACTTACTAGGTTCTTGATGTCATATCAGCTTGTATTGTTTCTAAAGAGCTCATTAGTACATATTGCTAAAATTTTCAGTTTACTGGCATGGTAAAGTTTTAGGGACGGGGAGACTGAGAAGTGCGATCAATATGACACTTCCTGCCTTATTTACCAAGTATAGAAAAGAACAATCTTATGCAATGTTCTACGTATGAATACTAGCTGTCGTGAATTTTGGGCAAATTTTTACTCACACATTTACTAAATAGGTTTCTTAATGCTAGTTTTTGTATAAGAGCTATCTAATACGGAGTAATTATTATGGCACTTGCATGATTTTGTGATCAAGGTGCATTTGATTCTAACATTTGCATAGTAATCGCCTCTATGGAAGTAGCAGGTCTGTAAGAGCCTAAGAGGTATATGTGTTATATGCTGTAGCTGATAATGCTCTTGTGCTTCTAGGATGACATTACGTCGATATTTTCTGTTGCGGATAAAGACAACTCAGGGACCTTGACTATACAGGAATTCCAAGATGTGATTGATGACATCCGTGTTAGATATCCCCAAGTAGACCTCTATATGAAAACTAATCATATGCAGAGCCTGAGGGATTTGTTAAGGGATGCTGAAGGAAATGAGATGGAAGTGGATATAGAAGGCTTTAGGTCAGCCCTTTTACATGTAGATTCACAATTGAAGAGTCTTCCAGCAACAGCGCAGGTGCATATTTTATGTTGGCTTTTGGAAGTCATTTGTTCAGTAGGTTTACATGAACGATATGATGACTGCCTCACATGTGGTGTTTTATTAGGTTGCTGCTCAACAAGGTGAGTATCTTTCTAGGTGCTTTAATTGTCTTGAGGAATGCAAAGCTAATCCAGAAGGCCCTCGTCGTTTTAGAGGCTCTGGGGACCATATGTTTCTTCCCTTCAGGTATGGCCTATGTTTTACCTCGCATTGGATTTTCTTGCTTAACAAACTTGGCACCTATTTCTCTCAAGTGTCTGAAGTGAGAGCAGTAATTGCTTATAGTCGACTAAGGCTGAGATGCAGAAGCAATATTTTAATCTTAACAGAATAGTAAAAATCCCGCTGAGGAAAACCTGATAGCATGAAATGTAAAGCGATTTGAGATAATCTTGATGCAAGTCTAACACTTATGTTGCACACACACATACATTTTTGCTGCATCGAAGAACGCCTATGAATGTTGTGGTTGATAATCCTATTGTTGATAGGAACTTTGTTTGATTTTTTTTTTTTTTTTTTTGTTTCTGTTTCTGCCCACCCCCCCCCCCCCCCCCCTCTTAATGAACGCATAACTTAAGCGGCATACCCATTCAGCTAAAGCTTTGATGAGTTTTAATTATAAGGTACAAGCATCTAGGACAATTCGCGCCATTAGGAGGAGAACAAGCAGCTGCTGAGCTTCCAGGTGATTGGGTTTCAATGGGCCATAGCACTCAGTGGCTATGGTACTCTGTGTATGCAAGGTTATATATTTCCTGCTTGTTTGGCTTACTAATCACACAGTATGCATTTGAATCTATGTAATATTTACATTTTTTGGCATTTCAGCAAGCAAGTTAGCTGGCGAACGCGAACTCTGGTGGTTAGTGATTGGACGAGAAGATTTATCTTTGGCAGAGATTCAAGCGGTATATAAGATATTATGAATGATGTTACATCTGTTACTTGATTAGTGTGAGAGCTCATGTTTCATTATTAATCAAGGTAACTGGGTTTGCAGCAGGCATTTAAAACCAAATATTAGCCCAGAACCACAATGAATTATACTGCTCGTGTTAAATAAAATCCTGTTATGATATAAAATTGTTTGGCTTGAGAATTGAACCTTGATGGAAACACTTACTCTTATTATTCATTCAACCATAATTCATTAATAGATTACTAGCTCTTTATCCATGCAATGTGCACAGATTTTATATTACATTAAAGAAATATGATTATTCAATACATAAGTTCAAATTTCGGAATACAATTAAAAGCAGTAAAAAAAATAAACTAAAAACAAATAAAAAGGATAACATAAAATAGCCTTAAGTTGCCTCCCAAGCCGCGCCTCTTGTTTACGTCATTGGCTCGACATTCTTCTCGATACTTAAAAGTTTAATTCATTTAGGACATCAAAGAACAATTGTTCAAGCCCTACATATTGACCATTTTATCAAGTAATATTTGTGCATTTTTTATTCCAATCTGTGCAAGATTATAAGAAACATGGTTAGTAGCACCTGGTTCCTCAATTGAAATTTGTTCATAAAAAACATTTATGTTAACAATTTGACCATTATTTCCTAAACTGACACAACCATTAGCTATATTAATCAATGCCCTTGCAATCTTTAAGAATGGTCATCCCAACAAAATTTCTAAAATATGTTCCACGTCAATAACATACAAATCAACAAGGAAAAGCAAATGTTTAACTTGTATTAAAATATTTTCCAAGCAACCATTGGGAGAAATACTATTAGCGTTTAGCCATGTAAGGAATTTCAATTTTGTTCCTCAAAGGTCCTAATTCAAATTGATCATACATAGAAGAAGGTAAGATATTAACAAGATCCTAAATCTAACATGCACTTATAAAAAGCAGTTTTATCGATTTTACAGGAAAGAGAAAAAGATCTTGGATCGTCGCATTTTGGAGGGGGTGCACAAAATTCAGTTCCCTTACTAGCCGTATTAAGAAAAGCATCGAATAGTAATTTATACTTCGAAACCATTTTGACAGCATCTAATAACGAGATTTTATTTCCTTGCACCACTATAGGACTCGTATTACTCCTATACTCATGCATGTTGTAAAGACTCATCAATGGTAGCTCTACTCTAGATTAACACAACATTCACTTTTGGGTTTGGAGGAGTTTGGCTGGTAGTTTCCCCGACAATTGAGTCTCTGAGTTACGTACTTAAGGAAGTGCAAATGTGGCCTAATTGAGTGTCGAGTTGTTGGAGATGGGAATCTGTTTTATTTTGATACTACTCTACATTCTGATTATACACTTGTCCTATTTGAGTTGCCAATTGTTTTACCATACTCTCTAATGAAGGACCATGAGATTGGGAAGAGGGGTTTTGCTGACTAAATTGCCTAGTTGATTATGTTGTAATAATTGTGGTCTATTTCCATGCCTAAGATTAGGGTGGTCTTTCCAACCTTCATTGTAAGTGTTAGGAAATAAAGGGTGTAATTGTGTTTGATTAATGCGGAACAAGTCAATGAACAATAAGAACGAGAAAAACAATAAAGAAGATAAACACAGAACACAAGGATTTACGTGTTTCGGTCAAATTAGACCTACCTTCACGGGTAGGGGAATCGAGAGCTTAATTCTTCACTATAATGGAGAAAGAACGAGAGAATAATACAAAAGGTATGATCTAATTGATCAACTAAAGGGTCCTTTTATAACATAAGGAAACTCTAATAAAAACCCTAAATTGTTCCCCAAATATACTCAAATAGCCGTCATAGAAAAGATATAATTTTAGGAAATATCCTATAAATTACCCTAGAAGGACCAAACTATCGAGCTATAGCTCGGCAGCTAGCTCAAGCCTGACGCAAGTCTTCATAGGCCTGAGCTATAGCTTGCAACCTCGTTGCAACTTTCCAGATTCGTCAGGTTTTCGTAAAACGACCATAACTTTCTCGTTTTCTATCGGAATTGGGCATATGACCTACCATTGGAAAGATCTTGAACCAAGCTATCGCCTCCAACTTGAATCACCTCAAAATCACTTGTAGTTTGAGAGATATTTGCATTCAAAGTCAGCTCTACTAGATTTTGAGTCACAATTTAACAAATCTCCACCTTGACTTGAAATCGACCAAACAAGGCCACTCCACCTTGAACCAAGAAGTAATGCTTATAAGAAAACATAGAACCTCCACCTTAAACAAAATTCCATAAGCCCACTCACATTAGGAATTCAACAAATGGACATCTTCCATAACTTGTGATGAACCGTCCAAACACAAAATTCCGTACACAAAACTATCACATGGCCTAGATTGAGAGTATAATATCCTGACGCCAAGCATGCTTATCAAAATTGACTAAACTCTCTTCAAAAACTTCTTCATCTCAAAACAAAACTAAAATGTTAAGCAATTCTAGAAAATAAAAACTACATCAATAATTTCTAAATGCAGTTGTACTTAATAAATCATAAAATTACCAAAATTGAGATAAGAAATAGCATAACTAGATCAAAATATAATGCATAACCAAGATTGCTACTTTATTACAAGCGAAAACCAAAAGCAATCTATCATAGACTCCATACCAAAAAATCCATACGGTTTCTCGTTTCACCAAGAGATCTCAAAAGGGCACTTAATATAAAGAGATCGTAGAAACCGCAGCCCTAAAGCTCGTAACCCTAAAGTATATAATCATCATCATCGTCGGTGTTGGCAATATTCGCGGATTTTTCCTCATTGGACTTCTCCTCATTCTTCTCATTCAATTTCCAACACTCGGCTTTGATATGACCTTCTCATGACAATAGTTAAAAACTTTTCCTTTACCAAAATTCTTATTACCACCATGAGCAACCAAAGAATCATTTTGAGCCGGATTATTAGATTTATTAACCAATTTATTGTCAGTTAAATCTCTCTGGGTTAAGGCATCCTTAACATCCTCCAAACTCAAATCATCTCTACCATACAATAAAGTATCTCGAAAGTGCAAATACGAAGGCGGTAAAGAACACATTAACCTAAAAGCCATATCCTCATCATCGATCTCAACATCGATGTTTTGCAAATTCATAATAATAGAGAAGAATTCATCTAAATAAGACTTAAGTGGTTTACCTTCTTCTAGACGAAGATCATGAAGTCTAGATTTGAGTAGTAGACGGTTGGTCACGCTCTTTGTCATATAAAGTGACTCCAACTTTAACCACAAACCCCGCAGCAGTCGTCTCCTTGGAAACCTCTCTCAAAACATCATTAGAGAGACATAATTGAATTGCCGAAAGAGCCTTCAAATCGATCTCCTCCCACTTATCCAACGTCATGCCTGAAGGCCTTTTGGATATACCTTCAAGAGCCTTGTGATAGCCTCTTTGAACCAAGATGACTTTCATCTTCAATTGCCATAGGCCAAAATTTACTTGCCTATCGAATTTCTCAATGTCAAATTTCATTGGCATAATTTTAATCAAACTAATTTATAAACACCTAAAACCTAAGACCTTAAAATCTGGCCCTAATACCAATTTGTTAGGAAATAAAGGGTGTAATTGTGTTTGATTAATGCGGAATAAGCCAAAATTAGAACGAGAAAAACAATAAAGAAGATAAACAAAGAGCATAAGGATATACGTGGTTCGATCAAATTAGACCTACCTTCATGGGTGGGGGAATCGAGAGCTTAATTCTTCACTATAATGGAGAAAGAACGAGAGAATAATACAAGGAGTCCTAAATCTAATGGCTGAAAAGGTATGATCTAAATTATCAACTAAAGGGTCCTTTTATAACACAAGGAAACCCTACTAAAAACCCTAAATAGTTCCCCAAATATACTCAAATAGCCGTCATAGAAAAGATATAATTTTAGGAAATATCCTATAATTATCCTAGAACGACCAAACTACCGAGCTATAGCTCTAGCTCAAGCCTACCACAAGTCTTCATAGGCCCGAGCTATAGCTCGCAACCTCGTCGCAACTTTCCAGCTTCATTAGGTTTTCATAAAATGGCCATAACTTTCTGGTTTCTTATCAGAATTGGGCATATGACCTACCATTGGAAAGATCTTGAACCAAGATATCGCCTCCAACTTGAATCACCTCAAAATCACTTGTAGTTTTAGAGGTATATGAATTCAAAGTCGGCCGTACTAGATTTCGAGTCACAATTTAATAGTAAGTTTATGAAAAAGGATCATACTTTCTGTTTGGTTGACTAGAAAAATCACCTAACGAACGAATTCACATCTCCGTATTGCAAATCAAAAGAATTATCATAAGTATTAGAAATATCAGAACAAACATCCACATACTCTAGCTTTAGACTCGTTTTCTTAAACATTTTTAACCAAGGTAGTTAAAGTAGCAATTTGCTGTGCATTTTTCCTCTAATTGACGATGAACGCCACTTAAATCAAGTTCACTAACTTTCCTAACATCATTCCTACTTCCATGTTGTTGAGTATTCTATGCTATATTAGAAATTACAGCCCGTCTTGTATGTGGATGGCCACACCGTGTGACCACTTCTAAAATAACATAGTAACCCCTATAACATTGACTACGTAACTTTGTAATACTGACTAAGTAACCCCTATAACACTTATGAAGTAACTCCTTTAACACCAACCAAGTAAACCCTATTACACTAACGAAGTACCCTTATGATGGTTAGCCACACGGTGTGGCTAGCCACATATAAGAATTTGTTTAGAAACTAAAGCCTTAGCTTAAGTTGGTATCTGTCTTATTAGCTAATGCACCTCCACTAGATGCATTTATCATACCTCTATCATGTGGCAACAAACCCTCATAAAAATACTGAATTAAGAGTTGATCACTTATTTGATGTTGTGGAGATGAACATAATTTCTAAAATCGCTCCCAATACTCATAAAGTGATTTAGAAGCATGTTGTCAAATACCACAAATTTCCTTTCCTACTGGATCCAATACATCTTGCGGGTAGACCTGGTTATTGGACGGGTCGGGTCAGGGTCTATGCGGGGCGATTGCAGGTCGAGTCATATTTTATAGGGTCAATAGCAGGTCGGGCCAATGCGGGTCATGGGTCAATAGTGGGTCGATAATGGGCGAGCCAACAAAATATTAATTAAAATAAACATTGAACAAAGCCATTATTAAGTATATATGAATACAAATTTATCTATGTAACTATTTTACATTAT